GGATTCTTCTTTTACAAGAATTCGATCTTGAAATAAAGGAAAAAAGTGGTGCCAAAAACCTAGTTGCAGACCACTTAAGTTGAATATTGGTGACTGCTCATCTTCTATCTTTGATGAATTCCCGGATGAATACTTCTTCCATATTTCAAACACCATTCCATGGTATGCGGATATTGTGAATTACTTTGTTACTAAAGAAATTCCTCACACGTTTATAAAGTACCAAAAAGCCAAATTGAAGAGTGATTCAAAATACTACGTGTGGGATGACCCTTATCTTTGGAAACATTGTTCAGATCAACTAATAAGAAGGTGTCTTCATCAAAACGAGGTTGAGTCAATTTTGAAGTTTTGCCATGAGTATGCATGCAGAGGAAATTTTGGTCAAAACAAAACCATGCGAAAGTGCTCGAATGTGGACTCTATTGGCCAACAATTTCAAGAGATACCTATATATTTTGCAAGACTTGTGATAGATGTCAAAGAACGGGAACCGTATCCATGAGGCATGAAATGATTGAAAGCTCTATCCTCATTTGTGAGATCTTTGATGTATGGGGAATCAACTTCATGGGCCCATTCCCCGTTTCTTTCCGTTATACTTATATACTCTTGGTGGTTGATTACATCTCAAAGTGGGTGGAAGCAACGGCTACAAGGCATGATGATTTCAAAACCGTAATTGACTTCTTGAAGTCAAATATTTTTGCAAGATATGGTTTACCACGAGCCTTGGTGAGTGATAGGGGTACTCATTTTTTGCAACAAAATAATGGAATCCATGATGAAAAGATATGGTGTCACACACCGGATATTAACCGCCTACCATCCACAAACGAATGCCCAAGCCGAAGTGTCAAATAGAGAAGTCAAGCAAATTCTTGAAAAGACAGTTAACACTACACGAAAAGATTGGAGCTTGAAGTTAGAAGATGCATTGTGGGTGTATGGGACCGCCTACAAAACTCTAATTAGTATGTCTCCATTCCACCTCGTCTATGGAAAGTCTTATCATTTACCGGTGGAATTGGAACACAATGCATATTGGGTGGTTAAAAAGTGTAATTTCAATCTTGAAGAAACCGGAAAGGACCGAAATATGCAACTTCAAGAAATCGAGGAGTTGAGGAACGAGTCTTACGAAAATGCAAGCATCTACAAAGATAAGACAAAAGTGTTTCATGACAACCACATCACTCGTAAGCATTTTATTCCGGGCAAAAAAGTTCTTCTTTATCATTCACGCTTAAAGCTATTCCCGGGAAAGTTGCAAACTCGACGGCACATACCTTTTATTGTTATAAAAGTGTTTGATCATGGTGCATTTGAAATTAAGAGTTTGGATACAAATCAAATATTCAAAGTGAATGGGCATCACTTGAAACCATTTTATGAAGTCTTTGACACGGGAGAATTTGATAACTTAACATTGGAAACCCCAAACTAAGCTTCTGAATTTCGAAGTATCTCTGTGCCTTGTAAATCCACCATGAACATCCTCCCCGCTGAAAACTGGGGCCTACAATTTTCGACAATCGAGTACCGGGTCCTGCCTCCCAAGCCTCTTTTTGGAATGCCTGGAAACGTTAGACCGTATACTCTTATCAGAATCACTGGAACCTTCTTCCTCATCCCCCTCTTCATCCTCTGAACTGGAAGACGGACTATAGTTAGTCTTTCTTTCCTTCTTTCGTGGTTTCTTGATTGCCTGAGTTAGATCCGAAACCGCCTTGGTGAGTTCTTGTATTTGTACTGCCACCTCTACCCGATGCGCTTCAGTTGAATCAAGCACCTGGTTGACGGTCTTTTCCAGTGCCGCCATTCGTTCGGCATTAGTGTCTTTCCTTTCAAGCTTTTCCGTCATTAGGACCTGTGAAGTCTCTGATACCAAATATTAGGAACTTTGGTCAATACCCTAGTTCCCTACCTGCAATTCAAGCTACAGGGAAACTCCAAGAAAAAACCTAACGGTATTTTTATTAATGCATAAAAAACTAAACAAACTATGGACCACCTTAAATAGCATCCTGCTAATTGACAGCAACAAAAACTAAATAGATAACTATTATCTTATACTTATCCAAACTAATCCTATTTAGATATTTCCTAAACTACCCCATATCATTATCCAAACCAATTCCCTACCTAATCCTCCTGCGATAGACCTTACCAAACCGTTGGGTCATAACAGACTTCTCAAAAATACCTTCATGCCAGAACATACAAGATACTTGATTCAGTTTGAGTGTGTGTTTAGCATGGGACAACAACTTCTAGCAGTTTGAATGGCTTCTTTTGAGATTTCGATTTTGTAGAGATTAAGTTCCTCCAACATTGGAAATGTTTTTAATGCTTGGGTCCAATTCCAATGTTTAGTACGATAATAACTTACAAATACATAAAACAAACCCATATAGCTTTTCAAATCGTGAAGATCAAAGTCACTACTGCAGTCAAGACAGGACGCAGTAGTAGTCTACCAATTATTAAAAAATCAATCTAATGTACTCCAAGATCCAAGAATATATATAAGGGATAATGACTTGAAAGGGTAACGAACTTTTGATTTTTTCACATTTAGTCACTAAATTTTTTTTCGTTATCTATTTGCCATTGAACTATTGAAACTGTTTACATTTTACCCTTATGACCGGTTGTTACCGGTCATAAGGGTAAAATGTCAACAGTTTCAATAGTTTAGTGGCAAATATATAACGAAAAAAAGTTTAGTGACTAAATATGAATAAAATCGAAAGTTCATTTCCCTCTAAAAAGTTCAATGGCTAAATGTGAACAAACTTCCTATTGTATTATGTTTTAGCAAATTATTTATTTTTGTTTAATTGTAGCAACGTTTGTTGATGAAGAAATCTATGAAATAAAAAAACAAAATGTAACATCCGGATTTCCAGGTATCATAATTTAAGGATTTTTCTTTTGAGTTAAGAAGAGAGACTCGACGAGTTGACGCCTCAACTCGTCGAGTAAGGTCGCGACTGATGACTCGGATTAATGAATGGAATCGACGAGTCAGTGAGGCGACTCGACGAGTCCGCACTGTTAGCAGAAACCCTAAATCTTTGGGCCCGAGCCATACTTAAAGGCACTTATGGCCTTCAACTGTGACTACCTTTCCCATAAGTGAGAACCCTAGCGAGCTTGAGTGTGTAGAGTGAGAGGAAGAGCTATCTTGAGCTTTTTGGTGTGATTTTGCAAGAAAGGAGAAGAGTTCCAATAAGAGGGACCAAGGAAGGTTATTGTTCTGAGTTATTCAAGCAAGGAGCTTCATTCTGAGGTACAAAAATGAACCCCTTTCCTTCCTTATTGTGTAGATTCCATTTTGGGGTTAGGGCTTGAATCACTTCATCTTTGGGGTTTTGAATGCCTCAAACCCCTCTTGCAAGTTTGTGTTATAGATCTGGACCCTTCTGGTCCAGAGAGCCGAGAATATGAAGCTTTAGTAGAGTAAACCTTGGGGTTTGAAGTTAGGAATCTGGACCCTTCATGGTCCAGAGAGCCGAGAATGTGAAGCTTTAGTAGAGTAAACCTTGAGGTTTGAAGTTAGGAAGCATTTATGGGATTTTTATGGTATATATAGTTACTTTCATCTTACACATAGATATGAAGTATTTTATTTAAATTACATGATATGTGTGCATATTATTTGAATACTTGTTGTCTATGCTGGGTGGACTATTTTATACATGTTTTAAAAGATTTAAACGGTATATTTATTTTATATCTACAAATATGTTATAGATGAAACATGGGTAGATGAAATAGTTGGTGTGTAATGAAATAAAATGATGAGAGATAGGTGATGATAGAAAGGTGATGATAATTAGGTAAATAGATGATGATGAATAGGTAATGTAGGATGAAAGGAGATACCATAACCTTAACCAACAATGTGGCGATGTAGTCATCTACTAGAGTATAGATGGCGACCACGGACTATTCTAGACAACCCAATGGAAACACCAGCAGACCCATAACCTGTAGGTGATGAATTACGAGTTCAGGCGATGTTGTAACTACGTATTCATGCGATGATACTCTAACCCCTTACTATGAATTACGAGTTCAGACGATGTTGTAACTACGTATTCATGGGATGTCACAAATTCCGCATGTCAAACCAATGGTCATAATTCACATCAGTGAGAATGATTCATTTTTTTTGTAAAACCAAAATCAGATTGGAAATTTTGATTTTTTATTTTGGAAAATGTCAAACCACTGGTTTTTTATTTCGGTTTCGGTTTCTTGTTTTTTTTTTTAAATATATTTTCAGGGTTTTGTTTTTTTATTTCATAGATTTCTTCATCAATAAATTTTACTATAATTTAACAAAAATAAATAATTTGCTAAAACATAATACAAGAGGAAGTTTGTTCACATTTAGTCATTGAACTTTTTAGAGGGAAACGAACTTTCGATTCTGTTCATATTTAGTCACTAAACTTTTTTTCGTTATCTATTTGCCACTAAACTATTGAAACTGTTCACATTTTACCCTTATGACCGGTAACAGCCGGTCATAAGGGTAAAATGTAAACAGTTTCAATAGTTCAATAGCAAATAGATAACGAAAAAAAGTTTAGTGACTAAATGTGAAAAAAATCAATAGTTCGTTATCCTTTCAAGTCATTATCCCTGTATATAACGATGAATAGAGAGCATTATCAACAATCCATAGAGGTCGAATTGGAAAAAAAAAAAAAAAAAGTCTTAAAAAAGCTCGAGATACTAAATTTCGAAAAGACGATCAAAATGTTAACCTTAATTTGGAGAAAGATAGAAGGCATGACTTATCACCGTATTCTGACAACTATTTCAGCTTCCAATATTTTTTAGATATATAGTCCACATTAAATTTTACAAAAACTTTGACTAAAGTGAAAAGAAAGGAGAAAGAAGGAGAACTGCACAGTCGTCCACTAACAGGAGAAGTAGAAAGAATGTCGTGGTCGTACGTGCACACTCGGCGGTAGCAACCGTCAAACGACCGGCGAAGTAACAGGAGAAAGAAAAAGCAAACGAGAACGGTCCACCGAGCGGAAGAAGCTGAGCGTCGGCAGTGGTTGTCCCTGACTGCCCAACCCTATCTCAAAAAATCAAATATCCAATTTCAATTTTTATTTATGCCGATTATATACACTTTGAATTTGAGTACAACAATTAAAATCACAAACTGCAATATGTGACTGGAGAAAAAACCAGGTTTGATGTGAGACAAGGTTAAAATAGAACGACTAATTTAAAGAAAAAGATGAATTATTTACACAAATTCGTCCTTTCCCACTTGTCTTTTCTAATTTTCCAAACGATCACTTTCAAATCTGTGTAAATTCTATATTATTGCATTTGTTATCTATAAGATAACTTGAAGCTTTTCTTTAAAGTTAAAAACATGAAACAAAAAGTCGTGAAGGTAACAATCATAATGAACAAAAATCAATCTCAATTGTTATATAATCCCTGTGAATTCTTTATTTAAAATACTGTTTCATTGATGATATTAATTATGAAATACCTGCAAAACGTTCTAATGTCCAATAATACCATAACTCAGAGATGAGAGAGAACGATAAACTGTTATTTGAATTGTTGATGGAGTTGTGTGCAGTAGACATAGAATAGATGTATCTGCAAAGGGTACCTTTGTCAATATAAATGAAAAGAGTACCTTTGTCAATATAAAAGGGGTTAGATCTTGTTCCACATTTTTGGATGAGACTAAAAATTTAGAAAAATTAAATATCTTTTTACTTTTATTTCTACAAATTCTTCTATCTAATTAAATGATTACATGTGTTATTTTAGTATATTTATATATTATTAAATGAGCATTAAATGTGACACATGATACATGCGTTATTTTAGTATATTTATATATCATTAAATGAGCATTAAATGTGACATATGTTATCATTTAATTTGGTAGAAAGATTTGTAGGAACAAAATGTAGGAGGATATTTAATTTCTTAAACTTTATCAATTAGCTAGTCTCATTGACCTAGTCAATATCGTATTTTAGTTCTGTTCCATTTATACCAAACACCTTTTGGAAAAACTTGTTCAAGTTTTGTTCTGTGTTCTATTACACCACCAATGACCAAACACTACCTAAAAGCTTTTAAAAGCTCACACCCAAATACAACAATTGTGAAATACGAATAACTTAATGATGAATTTTTCAAAAATGAGAAAAAAGAGTAAATGTGATAGTTTATTTAAGTGCGACCCTATTTTAGTTTTTTTTTTTTTCCAATTATTTTTTATTTACTTATAAATATATTGTTCTTTTAAGGATTGAACATATGACACATAGTTATGCCTTCTTATAAATATATAGAAGTATGGGTTGCATGTAGTTCAAAAACAAGTTGTTTACCTAATCACCTATGGAGAGTTTTTGCCCATATATATCCTGGAAAATAGGGGTAGCAGCAGTGTTTACACAGTTTTTTGTGATGAATTGATTAAAAAACAAATTATGTACAATCATAAGAGCGACTACATCCAAATATTGTCATTAGTTTTTGTTGAGCCCCAGAGTTTTTACATAATCACCGTTGTGTCGCATTCCAGACTTGAGCCCATAACTTCTTAGATGGGGAGGGTGCATCTCACCCAAGTAAAGATGTTCTAATGGCCATAAAACAAATTTAAAAAAAAAAAAAAAAAAAAATCTAATGATCTTTAGACCCTCTAATCATAAAGATTAATCTCGCTTCACATTTGAGCTTGAGTGTATTCTTTAGGAATCAGAGAAGGCCACTGAAACATCTTGCTAAAATCCAAGAATCTTTTATGTAGAAGTTAATGTTCTGCTAATTACCGAAGTCTTTTTTCTATTGCAATAAGCAAACACTTTTAATGGCAATTAGGTGGAAATCACAAAGCTTAAATCATTATTGATTTAAGTTTATGGAAAATATAGATTTTTCCAAAAACACTATGAACTAAAAAGATTGATTCCCGTTATTGTTTTATTATTTTGATTTTCAGGTTAGTCGTCTTACTATAAACGTATCAACTTAACTAACTAAAAAGAAAATCATGTCCATGACATAAGAATTGCCAGTCAAATAAGTAATTGGGCTTTTTAAACATCATTTAAAGTACAAAACATAGTCCATAAACCAACAAATCAACATAACATCTTTAGTTTCGTCTTCACCCAAGTTCGGGAACAAAAATGGAAATGATCCAACCATAGAGATGGCCTACATGTCACTAACTTGTCTGATAAAAAAAGAAAATTGCTGAAGGAAACATCCACACCTTCAAAGACAACGAATCAACAACAATTAGTAACTTCAAATGCAACATTTACGATTATTCTAATGAAGAATATTTGAGAAAAGAATGAGAGATGATGATTAAAAACTTATGGGAAAAGTTTCTTTTACTTGACTTTTGACGTATATTCCAAACAAAAAACAATCGTGTATAACTTACCGAAAACTTCGATAAGTCAATAATAATCTCCAAAACCATCCGAATCATCTGAATAATTGACTATCCAATCTTCTAAGTCGACACCAGAGTTATAAAAGTAATTATCCTCTTCACATCTCTTGCAATCGATATCATTTTTAGTATAGTACAGACATCCTTCAATAGAATCTCTAGGAAGTTTTACACATTTAATCTTTTCTAAACACTTTTTCCCCAAGTCTCCCTTGAGATCTAAGTAAAAGCACTCGCGCAAATCAAGTAATTCAAGATGACAACAACCATTCAGAATCGCCTCCAACCCGATATTTGTCATGTTGTTCCCAATAAGTTCAAGGTGCCTTAACTCAGGTAAGTTTTCTCCAATAGCTACAGCTGTCCTATTACGGATCATTTTTGACTTCTCACCAGGGCGTCCATGCCACCAACAGCAAGTTTCTTGATTCACTTTCAGTGTTTTTAACATTGGGCAACAACGGCCAGCAGTTTCAATATCTTCTTCTGAGATTTTTATTTTGTAGAGATTGAGTTCCTCCAACATTGGAAATTTTCTCAAAGCTCGGGTCAAGTTCCAATGTCCACTGCGTTTGCAACTTACAAATTCAAGCCGTTTCAGCTGACTTGATCTGTTAAAAGATAGAAAACTTGTAAAAAGCTGTGATCACTTTTGGGTTGTTACATGATTTATCTAATTCTCAAATACAATATCAATAGGGGATGAAAATGAAGTTAGTACTAAACATCTTTAATTTTTATTATAAGCATAGATCACATACCTATCGGCAACATACTGAAGAAGCCTATCACAAGCAAAATCCACAATAGTGATATCAACCAACTGGCCTTGACTTTGATCCACAGCATGCTTACACATCTCCTGAATAAGTTTATCATAAGCAAAACCCACACCTTTGATATCAACCAGCTGATCTTGACTTTGATCCATAGCATGCCACCAAATCTTCGGAATAAGTTGCTCATAAGCAAAACTCCCAACTTTGATATAAACAAACTGCCCTTCAATTTCACCCACACCATGTTTACGCATCTTTTGTAGCTGTTGAGATAGGCCTGAAATTTTCTTCATATGAATGACCCTCCACATTGAAGGGTCTTCGCAGATTTTATGCCAAGTAGTGCAAACTTTCCTGGCATTCTCAAGTATGCCAACAACACCAACTCTGTATAGAATGTTCGCCATTACATCAGATGGAAGCTCCAGCCAATTCCTTTCATGTTGCTTTGGTTTTGAAACAGTCATCTCTGCCATTTCTATCAACAACATTTGCAAATATGGACAAAGAACAAAACTTAATAACAGGTTAAACAACTTTCTTGGATTTTTTTGGATTGGATTTTGATGTAAATAGCATCGTAGCATTAGCACCAGCATATACACAAAAGTCTTAAATATGAGTATGCATTTGTAAAATATTATAATAACTTATTCAACATTAAAAAAGAAAACAAAGAAGTAACAAACATATCAAATGAACGTAAATGGTATTCCAATGTGAAGATAAAAGTCCTATTGCAAGCAGGACAAAATAATGGCAAATCATTGTGCACCATCGATCGGTTTGACTTATAATGACAGTGGAATTGCGTTTGCAAACTAGATATATATTGTAAATGTACAATCAATCGATGCAACTACATGAATGGAGGGGATCGATATAGGCAAAATAGAGAAACTCTAAAACCCTAGAACTACTAATATTCAGAAAACGACGAGATCATTGATGAAATATGAAGTAGTTTAATTTACGGAAAAGAAAGGACAAAGAAGGATGACAGCAGACTCGTCGTCGACTAACCAGAAAGGTAAAAAGATGGCCGTTGTCGTCCACTCGCCAGTCCCACCTGTCCAGTGACCGGAGAAGGTAACAGGAGAACTGCTTATTGAACCGAAGAATCTGAATTTTGAACTATTACAGAGCGTCAATTCATGGGAACCCCAAAGAAAAGTTAACCCTTATATTTAGTATAACTTGCGAAATAACCTAGGGCGTGCGAGAATTTTTCCCGCCATATGAAATGGTAATTCTTTGTGAAAAATTAAGTTTTTGGCCATATCACAGCTGGCGCATATGGTTCAATTCATTAGCGAAATTCTCCATATTAATAGTTCAAATATGACTATAAAATGCATATATATTTATAAAAAAGATATAAATAACTTTACAAATCTAATATAAACACAAAGGATGCGGAACACTTGGGAGCGTTTAAAAGCTTCTAGCTTCTAGTGTTTGAGAAAATTTTCCATTTTGAATAGAAAGTTTCGTTCGGCACTACAAGCTTCTAGCGTTTATTTTAAATAAAACGCTCTAAATTCAAATGTTATTTCATGCAGTATTTAACAAAACGCTACAAGCTACAAACTATCCACTACTCGCTACCAAGTAATTTTGCCGAACACACCCAAAACAAAAAGATTTTCAAGCGAAAAGTAAAAACAAAACACTAAAAATTCATATTAAAAAACTAAACTATAGATAACAAAACAAACCAAGTGATTCTCTAACGATTATGCATCCCGGTCCTTTAGATCTCTACTCCATATCAGTTTAACGGATCTTCGACCACCTTCTAGACTCTCAAAACGTTGAGGTTTCTTTCAACGAAGGTGGAATATTTGGTAAGTAGCATCTAAACTCTCATTAGGTTAAATTTTAAAGCCTATTTATAGATCTTACTACCAACAACAATGTATACATCACGCTAGATAGTTGGATGTGTTTCTTTTAAGCTTTATACATGTATTCCACAAGATATTGTCATGTAGACGCGACAAGTTGGATATGAGACATGACACATTCCTCGCCTTTCAACACATTCTCTAGCTTCTTGTATTTCAGTTCAGGTTCGTTTTTAGCCAATTTGCTTCCTTTCACTCTTGCAACATTTATAATATGCAAAATGTCTATTCAAAACATTATAAGCACCTTTTGTTCTAAATTGGATGAAAATATAGCATAAAAGTATATAATCTTACATCAAATAAGTGTGTAACGTAGACGATATCAAAATACTCTATAGTTGGACTTTGTTTGTCCTCAAGCAAACCAAAATCAATTCAAACCAAAATTTTAGTTCATGCATGTAACACCGTAACTTTTCATACAAAATTTTCATTTTTAAAATCACATAAATATCATCAACTCATATCACAAAATCTCAATATATCAATTATCAAAAACACGTGTTCATAACTATTTAAATAAAATCTAGGATCCTCGAACACAACTCCATCTCGTGTGTACAATCAAGCCGACACCTTTCCGTGATCCTGAGAAGTACCTGAAACATATAACACATAACAGAGTAAGCACGAAGCTTAGTGAGTTTCCCAAAATACCACATACAACGTATTAGCCACTCGAGGCTATAACTCGGTCAGACCCTCCGGTCTATGTCACAACTAGAAATTTTGTGTCTTGTAATCACTATACTTAAGTAAAACATTGAACCAAAAACTTAAGATCATGTGTGATGCCTTCAAAAACTTCAATCAAATGCTTCATACAAGTACTACAAATAGTCAACAAGCAATTGGAAACCCTAGAAGTTCTTGTTTAGGTCAATTTTGGACTAGGACTTCCTTATTGGACTCAATGGACCAATAAGCTGTTGGGTTATGAGCATTCTAACACTCCTAAGTGTACATGCAACCCTAAATACCTTGGATCTATGTTTTCTCTATTATACATGCAAATATGAACATCCAAGGTATTATCCTAATCTAGCATACAAAACTATCAATATAACAAGATAGAATACATACCTCTTTGATAGTGCTTGTCTTCATGAAGCTTGAGTGCCTAGTGCCCCAAGTGTGACACCTCAAATGGTTCACACAACACCATAAGCACTTGGAATAACTTAGAGAGAAATTAGAACACTTCATGAAATCGTCTAGCCCTCATACACACACACATAGTGTCGATTTCTTGAGCCATGGGTTTCTTTTATATGGTGGCTATTAGGGTTACACCATGTAACTCATGACTTTACCCATTCCTTATGCTCCATGGATTTTAACCTCCATGGAGTATCCATGGGTCACCCCATGGACTTAGTCCAACATAAGGAATCTTGGATCACAAGCCCACATATATAAGAATGAATGATTTACACAATCAACCCATATATTTAATTAGTCTCCTTTTGATCACTTAATTAATTCCAAATTAATTCTTGATCAATACTAATTAAATAACCTTATTAATATATTAGAACTTATAATATATTAACAAACCTTAAGTGTTATTTCTCTCATTTTAGTCTATCCAAGTGCATGATGCCATGCAACCCAAATGGACCATGCCGGGTCGGGTCAAGTTTACCAATTATAGTTATGGACTTAGACATTAATCCAAAAGTCTCCCACTTGGATAAGTCTAAAACTATTATTGCAAGTATGACTTCAAAACCCGACTAGCAATCGTAGCTCTCAAAAGCTTCTGTCGAACTCTGACCTTGTAGATGAACTCTGACCTTTGTCAATGACTTGTCCATTAGATAAGGGATCATATATTCCTCCATTCTAGATATCATATGGACTGAGACATGGATTATAATCATTCTCTCTGTCCATTTGTTGTTTCCCGATTTCCGATTTATGACGACTGACTAATTGAACAAATCAAATCAGTCCTGGCCCGGCCGAGCACTTCCATTTGTCATCATCAAATCATCGAGGGGCCCACATATATCGCTTTTATCCCGAAGGTAAAAGGAATGGATAAACTTCGACTCATATGGCTTGTTCTACTACTTGTTGAATCATACACAAAGACACGTTTTATAACATCGAGTTACCAATGCGTTTTCGTGCAATCAATGTACTATCAACTCATAGTAACAACTCATATCTCTAGGTTTGAAGAATATAAGATATTATCGTCTCATGATCACTCGTGATAAAATCCATGAAGTGATTCCAATGAGCGCGGGTTGAATCCAATACTCAGAACTTATGAGCACTCATGAGTGTTGTAGCCTTTGTCCAACACCTTAGACCTCTACAAGCCAACCCATGACAGTCTTAATTCATATCTACTTCCAACATATGACCGACTGTGGATGGTTTGAATAACTTAGTCATTCCGGAAGAATAACCTAGTTTATTCGGGAAGTCAAAACATGCAAAGTGAAACACAATAATAATTGAATCCAATATGGTATCAAAACCTATGAACATAAATAAAACACCTTTTATTTATCACCATATGATTACACATTATTCATTGTATACTGTTTCAGCTATCAACTTTATTCTTGAATTTAAAACAATAGTTGTCCCATGCTCCAAGCATGTACACTATGTTTTCTAAACACTAGTCATGCCATACACACCAAGTATGCATACTATGTTTGTCTATGATCTTTACTTTGTGAACTAGATCAATTGAACATAACTTCAATGATTCTCTTTTCACACTCCCAAATCCTTACTGCAAATGCAAGAATTCCAAATTCATGTCATTTACTGAAATCTGTTAGATTCTAAACTTATATGCATTGATCCTCTTGTAATGATTATGCACAAAGTCAGAAAGACTTGGCAACAATCATTACAGAGCATTCCAAAGGAGATCAACTCCTTGGAAACATCCTTCTTGCATTAAGTTTCCTAATCTTAACAGATTGAAAATTCTAACTTTGAAACATTTCCAGATTCCATTTTGACTATCACTTCTGAACAAGAGTTGCCTCCTTACAGATTATGTCAATATGGTCCTTCCAGAATTATCACTATACTTCCAACTGTCCTTGAGCAACCAATCTTTGGTAAACCTTAGATTGTCCTCGACAATTGTTTAATCCTTTTAGTCATATCCAGTTCTAAACCTTTTCCCTTCTTAATGCCCCAGGCATTTGGAAAATTTTAGAAAGGATGAATATAGCACATGTAATCGATCCTATATCCGAAGCATATGGGACACGATTCATGATGTCTCACATAAAGACTAAACCAGTCTTTTGCTATAACATTTCCATTTCTATTTGCCAAGTTCTCATAATTCAGATTATGAAAAGGGATGCCGTAATCATAATCGAATTTTAGAACGCAAATAATGGACCCATATACAGAATTTCCTTATGTTGAGCCATTCCAACATGAAATTCATATATATTCCTTGACTAAATGATTAAAACCTCACGATCTAAGCTTATAGATTTGAGATGAAGTATAATTTCCTCTCCCTTAATTATAGCAAAACAACTTTTCCCAATTGAAACCTTTTGTTTTCTATAATTAACATTGCTAACTTGCAATACTTATCATAATTATCATGCTCCCACTAACATGATGATTATTAGCATAACACTTATGCTCCCACTAGCTTTGACATGTACTCAGAAAATCAGCTGACTTTCTTACCAAAGTTCAGATTTCTGATACTAGATTGTTTTGATAAGACTTTATCAAAATCATACACCTTCCCTTAGATAGCACACTTGTGTGTCTAAACAATTATGAAGAGGGATGCCGTAATCATAATGGTTAGACCTTTTTGCCACTTCTCACAAGTCCAGGTTAGTGTGCCGGTAAACCACACACGCTCCACTAACGACTTTGAGAATGCAAATATCACAATTGCTATCTACTAAAATCTACTTAGTGAAAGTGTTTCCTCACCATCATTTTCATGAATCGGAGAGAAACCTTATGACACTTAGATTTAATGGTGTATGTGTTCTTATCCATGTGAATTGTCAAAACCATAGTCACAAGACAAGGATAATGACAAATCCAAACTCATATGGACTGAACTCAATCTTAATTTCTTGCCACCTGGCAGCTCAAGGGCCTGCCATTGCTTCCAAGTTGTTGTGCAACACATTGAGAACTCTAAGAACTCATATGCAAAGCCAACTTTAACTGGAATGGGCACAGAATATGTCAACACGATAGGTTATAAACCTCAAGTCGTGTGCTAGTGAAGAACTTCAGGTTTATTCTTGATTAGTTCTTGAGACTTTCAAGACCTTTAAGACTCCCACTGTCCTCTTGACCTATAAGACTCCCTTGTCAAACATCCAAGAGATAGTGGGATTCTAATCAAGACAAACACTTCACACAATTGGCCTAGTTGGTCTTTGTTTTATCCAAAACATCACAACTTACCAATTTCAAATGTACAAGAGTAGAAAACTTTTACTCTTACATTTGAAAGTGTTTTAAACCTTCTTAAGACATGTCACTCAAATTACAATCTTGGAGTATGACTCTAAGACTTGTATTGGAACGAAGTATGACTCATCTTCTTGATTTAACCATTTCAACAATTCAAGATCCCTTCTTCTTAGTCATAAGAATGCACTAAGACTTCCTTAGAGAACTAATTTTGATATGGTTTCTTAATCATTAAGATGATCACAAAACTGATACTAAAGTACTCTCCCATCTTTTCAGATTTGAGAAACTTTTATCCTTCGCCTAATTTGATTCTTCTTATTCGCTCTGTCCATTGGAACCTTTTCCAATGTCTCAGAGTTACACTTAAGCTTGTAAGTATAATCATATTTACTGAGCTTTAGTAAACTATGACGAATAGCCTTATATCTTTTGTGGTGGACTTAATCAGTGCACATGACTATGTACTCGATCCCTTAGTCCATTACTTGACTCACACATCCATGTGAACAAGTAATTAGTCTTAATTTTCCAATACTTGAAAGTTCTCATTCATCATGCTATACAACTTGCATGATTCCAAGTTCCGGTCCAATTGAACTTGGGTGATGAGAATCTTTCCTTATTTGGTAAATTTAGACATTACCACAAATGAAAGAATCAATTTCATATT